AGGAAGGCTCTGGTTCTTACAAGCCAAAAAGACTTTGAACAAAATTTTGAGACTTTGGCGTCTAAATTTAGGTTCTTAAATCCATTTTAGGGCAAAATTTTGAGACTTTGACGTCTAAATTTAGGTTCTTAAATCCATTTTAGGGCACCCAACTTAGTAGGCCTAATTTTTAAAGCAGCAGATCTCATTGATTTCATTGGAGTTTGATGGTGCTTGAGCCTTCAGAAAATCAACTGATGTATGTTTTAGAAACTAAATACGGATTTAGGAACCTAATATGAGTCCCCCTCAGTTTGAAAATATTGGCCCTAACATCTCCTCCTACTAATGTGTGCTGTTATTCTTAGGTATTCATGGGTTCTATCTCTTCCAGGCCCCTCTTAGAACTGTATTGTTTAAAATTAAAAGTGAATTCCAATTCATGAAGGCAGTAGGTGGCACAGTGAGCTAATGCACTAACCTTCACCTTCAGAGAACAGGTTGAAATCCTGACTCAGCTCACAAATTAAAGTGACTCTTATCATCCCCTATTGATCATCACAAAGCCACCCCCACAACTTGACCCCATATGATTGGTATTCCCTGCTAGTGAAGGGCAGAATATTGGAATAGACAATGTGTTTAGGGGAAAGTTTACCATATAGGTAGGATGCTGCCACTCAAATGGATTTTTAGGGCTTTAACTATTTCAGAAGAGTCATTAGAAACCTACCGTAGTTATCAGGGGAGTTGCATAGGGATTTAGTTGTTGGGCATCTCCTGTTAACATTGATAGCTGTCAGCTGGCTAAATCCCCATACTGAAACTGGACACTCACACATGCTGAATACTATCTTCTTAAAGTTGGAATTCAAACATACCTTTGATGCTCCATGCTCAGTAGCCACCAACACCACATATTGGTATTATGCAAATATCGTTACTTTGTTTAAACTCAGCCTCCTCAGCTATAATCTGCAGTGTCTTTGGGGAAAAAATAATGCATTATATAAGATCATTAAATACTGTAAGAGAGTTAAAACATAATATGAGAAATGGATATGATGCCAATTTCACGCCAGATTTTATCGAAAAACTTTACAAAGTAAGATGATTGATTTGAAACCATTGTTAGAGTATAAGTCGCGTACGCCTTTGATTCTGGAGAATAATTTAAAGTTCTTCCTTTTCATGTTAAAACTGGCCCACAGCTTTAGTGCAGGAAAAATAAAGATGTTTAAACAGTTCTGTTTCTGCAGTTACCCTGGAGGAAAGGTATCACTGTCAGGATAGATCACTGTATCTCATTTTATAATGACCAGCATAATTTCTTGCTCTGTGCATGAGGCACTCCTTGCCCCTCCCTCACATATCTGACATAACATTTTTTCTGCATTCTTCTGGCAATGAAAGATGTTTTAATGTGAAATTCTGGTAGCATGCAAGAGACTACACAAGCCAATTCCTTTTACTTTTGTTAGCGTTTAATGAAAGAAAATATAGAATACTATGAGGAAATATCTGTTTTGCTTGGCACCTCCTTGAACATATCACAGGGACTGCTCAACATACACATATCCCATTTTCTGATGAATTACTGAATGTTATCCAGTTTCGAGCCTTTGGGGTTTGCGGAGATAATCTGTAATGGAGATCAAAACTTGTTTTCACTTAAGCTGAGCAGTCCATTTCTAGCCCTGAATGAATCAGGTTTGTGTTTTACTTAAAATGTCTCAGTCCCACCATTCTGCCTCACTCACTCTATGAATGAAGATTATAAAGTTACTTCTTCTTGAAGGGCAGAGGGTATATCTTATTGCTGGACCGATGCCATACGCTGCTCATGACATGAACATGAGTCATACAGGAGCAAGACGGTGAGCTTTAGAAATGAATGATGTTACACTCTCCAAAGGAAGTTCGTAGGAAACTGGAAATATTGGGAGATTGGAACAGCTCTTTTACCCCTATATTGCTCGTTTGAATCTAGCTCTTGAGGACTGAAAGTCATTACTGTCTGTTCTGCCCTATGTGAAATAAGTAGTTGGTCCCGGGACTTGTCTGCACTGATGCAGCTGCACTGCTGTAGTGTGTCTCGTGAAGAGACACTATGCCGACAGGAGAGCGCTCTCCTATCGGCATAATTTCTCTACCCCCGTGAGAGGCAGAAGTAATGTCGGCAGGAGGCACTGTCCTGCCGACATAGCACGATGTGGACAGCGCCTTAAGTCAGTGTAACTTACATCGCTCAGGGGGTTGTCGTTTTCACACCCTGAGTGACTTATGTTACATCGACTTAAGCGGTAGGGTAGACCAACCCTTAGTCTTCTTCTTTTAATAGCACCATCTCAGCACTATCTCAATTGGCAGTTACCAGAAATGCAAGGGATTGAAAGCACATGGAGAATGAAATATCCTGTTGCTCCTAGGCCCCTCCAGGTCAAGGATGAGACAGTTTGGTAGGTCAGCATGGCAAAGCTTGCACTGCCACTGCCTTTGCTGTATCTGTCTATGAATAGAAAAATTGCATCATACGGGTTGCCAGCCCTATAACCTTTTACAGGCAGTAAATTCCCCAAAAAATCATTAACAAAAAAGACTTAAGTTCCTGAATTGTGTTCAGTTAGAAGTCTTAAAAATCATGCATTCCAATGTGCTTCAATATTGATGCTGATGATTAAAAAGTAAACACATTCTGCTGATTCTGTTATTGACTGTTCAGACAACAGAGTTTAACACTAAATAACAAAGAAGATTCTCTTTAAAATGTAGCCTTTTAATTTTAGACAAGCACAAAACCACACTCCTTTCTCTGAAAGAAATGCAGTTGTTCTGCAAGGATTCTGTGTTATAACATTGAATTATATCTGAGGGGGTCAAAACTCTGCACTTGATTCCTATAGATAGTACAGCACTAGAGGGAAAAGGTGAGAGGAGGGAAACCTCTGAAGCCTTTTTAGGACCCTGATCCAAAGTCTACTAGAATCAGTGGAAAGATGCTCATTGACTTCAACGAACTTTTAAGCAGGCTCATAAAATATGACACTTTTTGTTCAACACTTGCTTTTTTAAAAAAGAAAAGAAAAGAAAGTTGAAAATCTTTGTAAGAATTCTATGTTGTTCCTCATCCAGAATTTTTTTGCTGTATTCTCTAGCTGTTCTTCATGCATCTTCTGCCTAATTTTGCTGAATGCTGGTGGGATCAAGTCATTTTGGACATCCTGCTATGTAACGGGGGTGGCATCTGGTTGGGCATGATAGTTTGTCGTTTCTTGGAGATGAGGACCTATCATTGGGCGAGTTTCAAGTAGGTCTAAAGTAAAAGCCAATAAGCTTCATGTTTAAAATATTGCAGTGTAAAATTCTGAATTATTAGCTCCTCGTGAAATGTCTTTATGTATGTAAAATGCATGTGCTATAGAAATGGAGTGTGATCAGTGTATATTTACAATGCTATATATGAGATTATTAATGTTGGGGCACCATCTTGTGTTAAAAGATTTAGTTTCATCCACAGTTTTACTGAGATGGCAAAGCAGTATTATCCATCTTTTACAGATGGCGAAACTGAAACTGAAAGAGGATAAGTAACTTCTTGTTAGTGACCTTGGACAAGTCAGGGACAGAGCTAGGAAGAGAGCCCAGATCTCCTGCCTTCCAGTCTTGTATCCTATACACTAAACCACACTACCTTCCTTAACTGGACATGCTGTTTGCTAAGATGAGGGAGACCTGGGTTTTGGTCTAAATTCAGGATTTCCTGCCTCTCAATCCAGCAGGGACACAAGGAGCATCATAGAGTTGGTGTCCCACGTCTGTGGGAGAGTGCAGTGCAGATTAAGAGTAAGACAAATAGTATATCCATTGAGGGAACTGTCTTCACCACTAGCTTTTTATTTTAGGGTGGTGTGGTGGTGGTTGTCATTATCTGTTAAGAGGCTCATGTGAATTCCTAGTATTTTTAAATTCTTGGTTGGTGATTTTACAAAGGTGAACTGCAAGGAGAAAAATGGTTTTGCTTGTGTCCTTTACTGCTCTTTTCTGTTATATAAAGGTGGGTTCGAAGATTAAAATAAACAAACAAACCAAACTTGCACTTAAAAAACCAAATACCAGAAATGTCAATCTCTATTTCCCTGTTTCTCCTGGAGGAGCACAGACCTAGAGTGGGATAGTGACATCACAACAGGCTGAAATCTAATTTGTCGCTTTTCCAACCCTCAGCTGGAGGAGAGGAGAGTTGGAAGGTTCCACCAACAGCTTTCCTTCCATTTGTTTTGTTAACCGTTCGGGTAACAAAGATGTTAAAAACAAAATGCAGCCCATCTGACAGAGACTCCCCTTCCTTCCAAGGTGGAGGGTGGGCGTGGGGGCAAAATTTATGAAGCAGAGGTAAGCTTATGGCTTACATACAGTGCTGTATGTACATGGCCATGTGGGGCACCCAAGTTGGGTCCAATATCAAGCTAACATGGGTTGGGAATCCTGCAATAGCAACACACTCAGACCAGTGGAATAGGAATCCCATATTTCTAAATAATGAAATCTGACTGATCCTTTAAGGAGTGGGGTTGATGATCTATAGAAGGGAATCGCCATCTACACCTCTTGGTAAGGACAGTGAAGCTGTAAAATAGGGAGATAACGAGGGAACCTCTCTTCAGGATTCTGTGGGAGATTTGCAGAACACCATTCCTCTTGGTCCTTTTTCCTTCAGGGAAAGAACAAAATGCTTTGAAACCCAAACTGAATAACTGTACTTTAGATAGCACTGAGAGTTTGATGTCATTGTTTTCTAGTTTTTGCTTTTTTACTACTGACTGAAGTCTGTATATAGCTCTGCTATAAGAAGGCTATTTCTCATAATAACCGTTTGCCTCTTCACTGAAACACTCAATAAATTCTGCCTCTTAATGCAACCCTCGCTGTAACACACAACACAATGCCCTTAAGTACAGATTCATGGGAAAGAGCAGTGCATCATGATTTGTTATAGAAGAAATACTAAAATGCAGTATCACTTCCCCTCCCCCTCTACCCTCTCTCACCCCCCCCCCCCGCCTTATCTTTTCCTTATCTTTACTGCAGCCATTCTTTTCTTTCAGGGACATTCATACC